TCACACATACACCATATTATGTTGTTAATTAGGTACTGTCAATCAAAATTGTTGAGTTAATAAAAGAACGTTTATATATACAATTTTGAAAAAATATATAGACAATCTGATAACATAACATGTCAGACTATCTGAAAAGATATGATTGTCCTTTGAAAGAATTTTCTCCCCTCTCCTCTCTCCTTTAAGTGAGACTCATAACTTAATTAGTAAAAATTGAGACTTTCTCAAGGGAAAGGCATAATAAGTACCTTCATTCATTTCAACCATTCGATTAAACATTGCATAAAATGGTATTTGTGGGATGAATTTTTTGCTCAATAATGTGGAGATGTTGAGCAAATAAAGTTGTATAGGGATGGTAAGCAGTCATTCCAACCAGGAAGAAAGGTTGTTATGGTAAAACTTGGAGTATGATTATTTTCCCTTCAAATTCTCTTTTCTTCGGTCATTTTCTCTCTCACTTTTTTATTTTATTTTATTTCTCTGTAAAGAAGTTAATACAATATATTAATATGATTTAATCGTAAACATTCAAATAAGAGGGGACATGAAAAATAAAAATTTAATAGGAAGAGAATCTTAAACCGTAAACTTACTGTAATTTTATCTTGTCGGATCAGGCCCCTGAGATTAGGGACCATACTCCACACTCACATTTGATATCCTGAATTCCTCTCCTGTGTCACAGATACATGAATAGTTCCATTGAATTTTTCAGGGCAGATATTATATATAACTGTCTACCCATCAATTTTACTTTTTTGCGTGTTGTCTTAAGGGTCAAATTGGATAATTATTATTAATAATTAATTTTTATTTATTTATATTAGAAGTAGAGAAACACAAGAAATTCAGAAACCATCATATAACAATCTCTGAATCATTGGGGGAGAAGAAAATGATTCTGCATGCGCCCCAACAATCGTAAAGTATCATGACAGACTTTGAAAAAAAAAAATAAAGACTGATTTTATTCCGATCGCTTTTCAGCTCATCCCACAAAATTGTATGTCACATAAAAATTCTGATATCATAATCATGCACCGTGATAATGGTGTTCAAAGAAAAAACAACAAATGGTGTGTAGGATTAGGAGTGTGTTTGAACAGATAATTTCCAACCGCGGATAAAAGCTCACAGAATAGTTGCGAGATGTAGGTAGCCGGTCCACCGATTGCATTGTGCATTCATTGACTACTTACCTTCTGCAACTATCTTGCACGATTATTGCGACAAAAACAACCAAATGATAGAGGTTATTCAACAATAAACCCTAGAGGCAAGTGATTTTGTACCACAGTGGTGGAAAAGTGTTGAGCCATTGTATGAAGGGGTAGGTTTAAATTCCGTCGGTAACTAATCTAACAAAATATATCGTTTGACAAAAAAAAAAAATAATAATAATAAACCCTAGAGCATTAACACGAGGAAACCTCATATTTATTTGATGAAACTGATAAAATTCTCCCCATACGACAGAAAATAATAAAAATTCTCTGAAATATCAAAATCATGTTAATAATAAACATACAGCTAATAACTTTATGGAAAACAAACGGCTTGAGCCAAGTAATATAGAACTTTGGACTTTTCAATGGTAGTTGTGATGTGTTTCGATGGTGGTGGCATCGAAGATGGTGGAGAGATGGTGAGAGAATTAAACAGCAATATGAGCTTGCTTTCCACAATAAAACCCACCACCGCGACGATGGATGCCGCTGCGATTTGTCTGCTCTTCCATCTTCTACTTGTTCATCGCCGTCAGCGTCGGCAAAAATAAATATTGTTGATATGTCTTTAATATTTGGTAGATATTGCTAATACATTAACATAAGTTGTTCCTCGACCAAGCGTGATGGTTCTAATTGTGAACAAGACTTCAATCTGACCGCTCTAATTGTGAACAAGATTTTGACTGACTTGGCCTAAGGACAAATTTTGAATTTTCAACTGCTTGATAAAAAATAAAAAATAAAAAAAGAAAAGAAAAGAAGATAAACGTTAATGATGTGGAATTGATTTCATGTGTGACCCACTACGTGTGACCTACTAAGAACGTGGTCCGGCCACATAAGTTGAAGTGTTGAAGAAGACAATTTCATATCAAAAACTTGACAAGATATATTATACTTATAAATGAATGATTACACTACTAATATCGAGGCTTTTAAGAACCGTTCAATTAGGCAGTTGAGGTTGATCTAAGGGCAGCTAATGAACCCCCTTATCTTACCTCTTACAGTTAGGCCTCTGACTCAGGGCTGGTTTGGTATTGCTGTGCTTTAAAAAAAAGCTGCTTCTGCTGTGCTGTGAGAATAAGCAGCTGTGAAATAAAGCAACAAAGTGTTTGGTAAACTTTTTTGTAAAAGTGCTTTTGAAAAAAAAAAAAACAGTATTATAGTGTTTGGTAAACTTTTATGTAAAACAGATGTGAAAAAAAGCCAGTTTTTCAAAGTTAGGTTTTGCAGCTTCTTGTTTTTGGCTTTTTTCACCCAAAACTGTGAAAAAAAGCTGAAGCTGAATGTTTACCAAACACAAAAACAGCTCCCAGCTTATTTTGATACCAGCTTTTTTCAAAATTACCTCAGTACCAAACCAAGCCTCAATATAAGCAAACCAATCCTTAGTGGCCTAAAAGTCAAATTTGAGCTTAAAACATGTTGGCCTATAACTTGCTTTCCAAGTAGAAGGGGGTTTGCCCAACCCACTCCCTCAAGTGGGATCCAAACCCCTTTCAATTGGGTAATTGGGTGATTGAATCCCCCAAAACCCACACAATCCTTTCGACCCAAGCCCCACTCAATCGGGCTACAGTGAAAAGAGGCAGGGTTGCTCAATCGTGCCACAATCCCCCAACCCAACTTTTGAGTCGTGTGACGTCAAGGTGACGTTAGATGACATCACCCATGTTATGATTTTAAGGAAAATTAACGAAAAATCCAAAAAACTTTTCTTTTAATGAAAAGCCATTTTTAAAGGTATAGTGAATAGTACCAGGAAAATGTATAAATATGGTTTTTCGTTAAAAATGAACAGTATCGGAAGTGTTTTGTTAAAACTCTCAATTATGCTTCAAGCGCGTGTGAGACGGAGTCAACCGACCAAATCTGCATCTCTGGGCCCGCACTGCAGGCACACTCACCCCGTCAACCGTGCGATTTGAATGGGTTTTCTATCCTACGGTCCATATTTTTTAAACAAACAAAATAAAAAAAATAAAGGAAAAATCTGAAAAAAAAAAATCACTTATTACCTTTTTGGGTCCACGTATAAGAAATGTAATCCAAAACAGGGGCTGTTGGATTACGAAAAAATATAATCCAATGTTCAAATTAATTAGGTAAGAAATAAATATTAAAAATCATAAAAAAAAAAAAAAAAAGAAAAGAAAATTACAGGCCTGTACACTGCATTTGGGGAAATCCTCAAACCTGTGTAGGAGTAGATCACTCCACTTGTTTCCTTTAGGATACAACAGTCGCAATTGTATCGTCGAATTGTCGTGTGACTCAATTGTTTGGTTAATCAATGTCTTAGTTTTGTCCATTCAGTTGAATTTTAATTCGCTTATGCTTTTAAATTGATGCTCTGAATAACAACATGGCCTTTAGACTTCGCAAAACACTAAATCATATGAAACTGCAAAACGAATTCATCACTCAGTCAATATTAAAAGTGCATTGTGACTCTATATACACAAAAATGAATGCCAAATGACAACAAATGACAACACATCCGATGAGGCATTCAAAGATTAACGACAATGAAATCAGAAAAATGGGTCAGGCCCTCTGCCCTATGGGCCGCGTCTGACTCTGGCCTCTGTCCTTTGGGCTCAGTGCTCACGGTCACCAATCCTGAGTCCACCTCGGCACCTCCTGAAATTCTGAAATGGTTTTGCCGTTTTGGGCCGTCAGTCTGTGGGTGTGGCCGTGCCGCGCCTGGCGTGGTGACAGGAGGGAACGACGGGAACAGCAGGGAACTTGGGAGACTCAGACTCGGAGGCACACAGAAGCAAGGAAATTGCTTCAAAATTGTGTAACTAGAGTGGAAGTTGAAGGCCTGAAGATGAGTCGTAATTAAAAAATTGCTTCAACGATTCAATCCAATTATCCAAGTTCTGTGTTCAGTGACTCTGAGTTAAGATTCCTTGATAAATAAAAAACTTCAGGATTGGAACTTGAAATTTGTAAAGACCGGAGAGTTTTCGAAGCGTCATTGAAGAACCGAGTTTAGCGCACGATTCGCTGTACCATTTTTTTTTTTTAATTTTTTTAAAATAATATATATATATATATGTAAAAAGTAAATTATTTTGGTGCCCCTTGAAATTTTGGGCCCCGGACCTGGGCTTGGGCCGGCCCTGTGTCGAATCATCAGGAAACCCAACTTTTTCTGGGTTTAAATTTTCTTCCAATCCGAAACTGATTCGTGCATGCAAAGCTCGAATGTTGGCGGAAAGGATTATGGAATTATGGTCCGTTGTTTTTGAGCAAGAGTGCCAGCGGTGCTTTAGCTCCGAGAGAACGAACTCGAGAGCGGCGGCAGTTTTAGTTTACTAGAATCGTCTGAAAATTGAACAGAGAAAAACAGAGGAGCTGCGAGAGATTTCGAGAGACATCCACAATCAACACGTGGACAACAGGGGCATACATGAATTAACAGAAAATAAAAGAGGGCAAAAACGGAAGAACGTTGTAGAAATAACAGTGTTCTGAGTCTGCTAGGACACAAAAAGAATTAACTTGAAAGTAGAAGTTTTAGTATAGAAAGTTATGCCTGCGCGTTGTTACGAGAGTAAAAATTGTGTGAAAAATTATGTTTCAAAAGTATAAACACATCAACTTACATCATATCTAATTGAATTATTGCAACAACATATTGACGGAATTAATATGAAAATTCATAAACTACTCGACAATATGAAATCCTTCAATCTTTAAAGATGAGAAATAAATGTAGAAAGTAAAAATCCTACCTCATATATATTAAAACAATTAACAAATTCTCAATGAATGATTAACCAAAATGGTATAGAAAAGTAATTCAATTTCGTATTTCAAAAATGGGAACCATATAAAAAAAGGGTTCTAAGTTCTCAATTCTCATCATAACGAAAAGGTAGATAACGTTTTAACATTAACTTGGGTTGATTTCAGACACCAGCATCAATAAAACCAGGGACTTCAACCTGTGCAAGCAAATGATCGAATTAGACACAAGCCAACCAACTTTGAATTTAACCAAATTAAAAAAAAAAAAAAAAAAACAAAAAACAATTAAACTCCTCTTCTTTCTATATGTAGTAGTTGTTTCCTGTTTTGCCTTTGTCACACTCTATAAACAAAATGCACACTCAAAATGCTTAGCAACATTATAAAAACTACATGTATACAGTATTGTATATGTGTTTAGACATAAGGCATAAAGATTTACTAAAATAATCAAGCTTAAATTTAACAAAAGAAGTAATTACGAATTGGAATCAAACGATATAATAATTGTTAAAAAAATTTTGACTAAATTTTACAAATAGCATCATAAATTGTTAAAAAATTTAACACCATTAAAAAAACTCATTACTCAAATATGTAATTCTATTAAAAACACATCACTGAAAACCCCAAGGAAAGGGGTACATATTCCTAACCTGCCAAACAATTTCTATAGTCATACTGAAGCAAGGAAAACAGATGGTCTGTATCATTTAAAGGCAAGGCTAAAAGGGTAAATTTCTTATGAGTCTTAATTATTTGTTAAGACCATACGAAGTGAGATAAGATAACGTGCAGACAGAAAGACACCTCACTAGCATTAACTTATTTTTGTTTATTGATGAATATAAACTGAATTTTCAATGAAAATGTTTGATTGAGAAAAAGACTAAAATAAAATAATTATGTAACAATACATAAAACCCAATCAACATTTAAGAAAAAAGCGTGAGAGAGAGAGAGAGAGAGAAAGAGTCCAACCTTAATCGTTTGCATGAAATCTTGTAACTTCCTATAGTACCTCTGTAATCGTATCACCTGTAGAACTACTGAAATAAAACCAATAAATGTGAAATTAAAATCTAAATCTGAATAATTGGATAGATATACATATATATAGAATCTGATATCCTTGCTCAAGAGTTTTGAAGATATAGGACTACTATAAAACGAAAACAATTGTGATCTACAAACATAAAGGTGCAATTGTAAAACCAAAACAACTATATCCATCAAAAAGTGCAATCAAAGCATATAACCTCATCCAGCTCCATTTTACGAATCAATAAGTAAATTGGATCAAAATCAAAATCCAAAACCCATTAATAAAATCCAATCTTTTACTTCAACGCAATCATAAATTAAGATTGAAACATTATTACCTGCTAAGAAATCCCAATAATCAAATTCTTCTTGTCACTTGGAAGAGTGGATTGGAGCCAATTCGGGTCACATTCTCCTTGTTATTCAATCACACAAATCAAAATTCCAAGTTGAAAGCATTTATAAAAGACAAATAAAAAATATTACAAATTAAAGAGAAAAAAATGCTAAGAATAATGAAAGAGGAGCGTGTATACGGCGGAGAGGAGCAATGAGCATCAACAATCTTCGCTAGATTTCAATACTATGATATCATAGACGGTAATTCCATCAGTGTTTTAATCCTAAAATTTTAACTGATTTCAAGTAGAATACATCCAAGAGCTTACTGGATTTTGAGTTGTATACTGCTCTCCATTGAGTCCTCTTGTCATCCGAGGATGCAAGTTCATTGGTGAAAGCACATGAATCATTCCCACAAATAAATGCTAAAGGAAATAGCCCTATAACCAATTAGTAAATATATAAATGTGAAGAAAGATAGATAGATAGATAAAAGCATGTTATGAAGATTGAGAGAGTAGAGAGGAACTGAAATAGACCTCAGCAAGAGTAGTAGTACTGCAGCCTGTAGAGGGTGCCCAGTTCTTGGCCTCTTGAACTTCAAACCTTGTCCCACATTAGAAACAATGAGATCATTGTCGACAGAAAATACAATCGGAAAGTTGGACACAAACCAAACTCGAGCAGCTGTGACCAAATGATGATAATTGCATGAAAAAGAAACAAAAAATGAGATCATAAATAATTATGATAAGGAAAATTCAAATGAGGATTTTGTTGCAGAGAAATCGGTGTCAGATCACCTCCATGAACACGATTTTTGGAAGATTGGAAACGTCCAAAGAGGCAGGCCCTGTATTTTTTGGCACTTTGAAACGCAATCCACCTTTTCTTATTGGCCCTTCATAGATTTCTCCGAGTACAACCTGCAGACAGAAACAATACCCATTATACCTTTTTCAAATGGATTTTAGAGACAGAGGAGAGAGATTAGGGTTCAAGGACAATAATGAAAACTTATTTTACGCTGAGAGGATCTGGTGAAGCAATTGTGATAGCCAGAAGGCGTTCGAGAGCGACGGAAGCAGAGATTTGAGAGAGAGTGAAAACGAAAGGAAAACTGTAGAAATTGTCATGGAAGCAGAGCTTTAGAGCGATCTGATTTTTTGAATCACAGAAAGCGGAATGTAGTAGAAGAGTGAAGAAGAGGAGGAAAAATATCGAACAGAAGATGGAGCGATGACGGGACGCGTGGAATCGAAAGGGCAAAACCACCCTTTCACTGTACAAAAGCCGATAGAAGCCATTCTGAGACAAATATTTGGAGGGCATTTTTGTCCGCACACTGTCCATAAACAGTGCACGTTGGTTTGAGTTTTAGTATAGAAATAATATATAATTTCTTTAAAGAAAAAAATAAAATACTATTAAGCTGAAAAAAATAAAATACTATTAAACTTACCTTATTATCTTATTTTCTCACCCACCTTTTAATCAAAATGTTATTGACACATATATCTCTTTTTTGACCATTGTTTATAAATGGGCAGCTGACATGTAAATGCCGCAGCACATCAACTACCATAACCACTTCAATGGAGAAGCTTCTGGACAATCACAGATTTGCACCCAAAAAATTGTTGGTTTCTAGGGTCTAGGTTGGATGAGATTCATTGAAATCCAGGTGAGGATTATGGGTTGTCTGTGTAATTGGAGAAGGATTTGGCTATGGAGTGAAAAGGGGGATAGGTGTGGGTGCGTTAGTGGTTTGGGTGGTAGAGAGGCAGAGGTCAGGAGTGTGCTGGTGGGCAGGGGAGAAAGGTATTGAGTATTGAGAGGTGGTGGTGAATGGGTTGCGAGCTGGTGGTGAGTGGACGGTCGGGCTGGGGCTTCGACTGTCGTCGTGAATGTGGTGTTGCGATTAAGGATGAGATAAGTAAAAAATGTATAAAAATTTGAATATATATTAAAGGTCATTTTAGGAATAATAGGGGATTGGGGAATAGCATTTTAATTTTTTAACTTTTTAAGATGGGTGAAATTATAATGTGGGTGGAGAAATAGGACAATAGGGTGAGTCTATCAACACTGAAAAAAATATTAGTAGATATGTTAAGCAATAATTGTCTTAATGATTTTAGAATATTTGAATGAATTTCAATAAAATTTTAACAGTATGTTTCAGTTGTTGGTTTCAAAATGAAGAATTACTAAAAATTTCAAAACTAAAATTTTGTATATTTCCAAAGTTCATATAAACACTGCTTCACAATGTTAATTGTCGTCATTATATGGAGGGGAGGGAAAGGAAGGGAGATTAGAAGGGAAAAGAATCTTACTCCGGCTACTTAGACACACAAATTGACACTTATGTTGATGCACACTTTAATATAAGAGAAACCTATATACAATGGTAGAACTCACATGTACTAGAAGTATATATTGTGTCAACAAGAATGTTAATATTGTGTGTCCGAATAGTTTTATTGTACTATCATATATATTAAAAATCAAACCTTACATCATGATAAAATAAACAACCACAAACAGAAAATGTCATACTATTTAAATATACAAAATTAAAATTCTCTAATATAGGTGCATTCCACATACAATGATAGGACCCAAATTGTTCTATTTAATCTGAAAATACATAATGAAATGTACAATCTATTCCTTAATCCTTCTTTTCATCATGGCCATGCACACTACCATCTTCACATAGAGTGAATCTTGTACATTATCCCAAAACCGAAAATACGCATACCTCCATGTCTTGTTAAGAACTAAAGAACTACAAACTCCCCAAAATCCAACAATGAAACCTAGGGCTGCAAAAATGTAAAACCAAAGAAGCTCATCACGTTCATTGTCTATATCTTTGTCGATGCTATTCTTATTATCCGCATCAATGTCTCTGCACTCATTTGGAAGTGGTGCGCCACAAAGTTGAAGGTTCCCTTCAAATGCAGAAGCGTCGAAGCTCTGAAGCTGCGTGCCCGTTGGTATTTTTCCCTCGAGATTATTGTATGAGACATCTAATTCTTTCAAAAAATTAAGGCTTGTCATTGACGAGGGAATTTTCCCGGACAAATGATTCGTGGAGAGATTCAAATACTCTAAATAGCCTAGGTTAGATATTTGGTTTGGAATGTCGCCAGAGAAGTTGTTGTCGTCAAGATACAACTCACGAATAAGTTGCAATTGCTCGATCTCAGTAGGTATACTACCACTAATGTTATTGGCTGATAGGACTATTGCTCCTGGAATGTAAGACAATTTATGCGGCAAAAATTTTGGATTTTCTATGCCGCGGCTGAAGGTGGGAAGTTCAAATTCATAATTGTCTATTGGAGATGCATTCACCATCAACATTGGTAATCTACAAAGTTGTTTTGGAAATTCACCTGAAATTTGGTTGTATGGCATTTCCAAATAAAAGAGTTTTGGAAGAGTCCCCAACCAACTTGGAATTGACCCTGTGATTTGATTACCACTCAGATCCAACACCCCTAGATTCTTTAGGTTTGAGAACCAACCAGGTATCTGACCAGTGAGCCCACACCTTTGCAAACTCAACACTCGAAGATTTTGGAATCCATGAAAATCAACCATGTCATCATCAGCTAACAGTGCCTCACGACCAAACGAACCGCCAAGAAAGAGTGACCGAAGACTTTTGCAACGCATTAATATCTTCATTGCCCCTGTGGCATTGGTCAACCGTAAATCAGCAAGCGAGAGGAAGGACAAGGATTTCAATGAAAGAATCTCAGGTTGTATTTGTCCTTCTAGATAAGGATTTTCACTCAACCGAATTGCTTTTAGGGACCTGCATGAGTAAAGGCTTATTGGCAAGATACCGGTAAAATTATTCCCAACTAGGTCAAGTTTACTAAGGTGGCTGAGTTTGGAGAAATTAGGCGTGGTGAGGTCTCCTTCCAAGTAGTTGAATCCCAAATGTATTTATAGGAGGTTTGTGCAGTTCATTAAAGATGGAGGCAAATTACCCTCTAAGTTGTTGAAATCAAAATTCATGAATTTCAACTTGGAGAGTTTTCCAAAATTGACAGGGAGCACACCACTCAAATTATTAAAGTAGAAGTCAAGGATTGTGAGGTTGGCAAGGTTGGCAATTCTTTCACTAATGGCTTCATTTAGTGAATTGAGAGGTAATGCAAGTTCCACAAGTTTGGTAGCGTTATAGATATCTTCTGGAAGTGATCCTGACAAATTATTATCACCGGCACGAAGAATTTGCAGTTCGGAACACCCCCCAAGCCCTTGAGAAATGTTGCCACTAAATTCATTGGAGGAAAAATCCAATACTCTTATGGAAGGAGATGATCGGAGACAAATAAATGAAGGGATATATCCAGAGAAGGTGTTGTTGCTGACATTGAAACTAGTCAAGTTCCAAGCTTGTTGGAAGAAAGAAGATGGAATTGCACCATGGAAGTGATTGCTTGACAAATCTATTGTCTGGATATTTTTTGGTGGTAAAGAAAACGGTAGCTCACCAGAAAGAAGGTTATAGCTCAAATCAAGGATTTCAAGGTGATTCAAAGACGAGAAGAATTTAGTTTCAAGGGTGCCATAAAGTGAATTTTGGGAAAGATTCAAGTGGGTGAGATGTGTGAGATTTCCAAGTGATGAGACAAACATACCTCCTTTGAGCCCTTTGGAGGGTAAGATCAAATGGGTGACCCAACCCTCTTGATTACAAGTGATGCCATTCCAACGACAACAATCAACAGAACCACTCCAATTTATGGGAGGAGAAGATAGAGTGCGGGCGAAGGCCATGAGACAGGTGCATTCAGTTTGGTTGCTTGCATGAATGTATGGTGTAGATATAATGAAAGAGAATAAGAGGACAAGGAGGAAGCCGTTATCCATTTTTTTTTAACTTACAATAGCAGGTCTGCACATATCATATATATATATATAGGAGCAACCAAAGGTATGCATCTATGTATAATTTTTTTGGTGTGTGTGTGTGTGAGCATAAAAGATAGTATTTCTTTGCAAACAACCATGACCACACACATTAATGTACAATTTCCAAACCCTTCAATACGTGAGAGAGGTTTTCCACAATGAAAAGGACCTTGTTATTTTCAGAACAACAACTCATATCTTCCATTCCAAACTACCCAACAAGCCATAGAAAACAAGTGGAGCTCCTCCCGAGTCAAGGCATAAAAGTCCACACAATCGTATAAAAGCAATGAAGGATGGTTATTAAACAAAAATGATATCCCATTAGGGTTCTAATAGAGGAATGCAAGAGGTAAAACAGGGAGTGTAAATATTAGTCACTCCCCAAAACGAAATGGTTATCCAACCGTCCCAAAGGATTGCATATCACATTAAAACTCGGGATTGCTTGAAAAATACGGAACCAGGATATTGTCTAAAGATAACATCCATGAAAAGGGGACAAAGTTCAAAATTTGAAATCACACAAAGAAAACCAAGTATGTGTTTCTTCTTCTCCATTGAAATGGGTTATATTGCAGTATAAAGTTTAGGGTTCTTTAGTAAAAGGTCATTGAAACTCCTATTTTCCAAACAAAAACCCACCTAATATTAAACATCCAAATAAAACCCAAATTTCAAATAGAGTACCATGTAGACAAATATGTAACCAATTATTATCACATATTTACAACTTATGCCACAAAACCCTAATTATGTCAATAAATACTATTACTCGCCCTAATTATGTTTAGAAATTAACCCCATATGCAAATTTTACCTTTCTTGTTTGATAAATATTAAGAATATATATATATATATATATTATAATTTATCCATGTTCATAAACAATTATGAGCACATTTTTCGTATGGAAAAAAACAATCCTTCGTACAATCAGTTATTTTGCATCAAATAATAATATTGTTTGATAAAAACAACAAAGAACCAATTAATATTCTTTTATGTTGTAGGTAATACCTAGATTATTACATACATTAAGCATTTTTTGTTTGTTATTATATATGCGTGTTAAAAATAATTTATCTATATTTATATGTAAAATATAAGTAAATTAATTTTGAATCAAATAGCATTTATTTTGTAGGTAAATTAAAATAGTAGTTCCATTATTTTGGTAAAGTTAAACAGTGCCCAAATTATTTCGTAAAAATTAAACCAAGACAAATTATCTCCATTAAAATAAAACAGTAGATATTCGACCAAAACAAAAAACAGTGATACATTATTTTCTTATAAGATTAAACAATAGGTAAATTATATTGTAGGTACATTATGTTTGTAGTAAAAAAAAAAAAAAAGAAATTGAAATTCATAAAAAAAAAAAAAAAAAAAGTAGTAGATATATTATTTGTTAATCAAATTTCCTTCATTTGTAAGTGAATTATTTTCATGCATTATTATATATATTGGGCACATTTTACTACTAATATATATATGTGCGCAATAATTTACCTATATTATTATATAAAATATAGATAAATTTATTTTGAATCAAATAACATTTTTTATTTTAAGTAAATTATTTTGCATGAATCAAATAACATTTTATAAAACCTGGTTCTCAGGTTTTCGAGGGTTTCACGTCCAACCAACACCACCAATCAACTCCTGAGCTCGAAGGGAGTCCAAAAATACCAACAATGGTCACAATCCGTACTAGAAATGGTTGAATGGAAGCTCGTTCGTATGAGTTGTAAGGAAAATGGAATGAAGTCCGAGAGAGAAGAGAGAGAGAGAGTCATGGGAGTGTGTGGTATCGATAATCATTTCATTGAGAATCCAATTCCATTTCAATCGTGTAAATTGGGAGTTCAATATCAATTTATTTTTTTGGCACCATTTTAATAGTATTTAATGGAGTATACGACATGCAGAAAAACAAAAGATATGAATACAACCCTATATGAATGCATGAAAATTGTAGTAACCGGTTCAAAGTGAAAGTAGAAGATAAGTTACTCAATAAGAAAAACCATCACCTTCAATCTTAAGCACCAAATGAGTATAAAAAAAAAAATTATCGTATTGCAAACTGAGAAAAATTGGCAGACAACCAAGACGGCACATCAATGTACATTTTCCAAACCCTTCACTACGTCAAATAGAGATTACCAAACCCCTCAATATGTCGAAAAGAGATTTCCTCTTAAGATTGATTTCTTCCATTCCCAACTACCCAACCAAGCCATAGAAAGCAAGTGCAGCTCCTCCTGAGTCAAGGCATAAAATTCCACACAATTGTATAAAAGCAATGGAGGATGGTTATTAAACAAGAATAAGAATAGGAGGACGAAGACATGAGCCATTTTTAAACTTAGATTGCTTACAGAAATTTAAATATATATATATATATATATGTATATATAAACCTCAGTTGGTCAAGATGGGGCCAAACTGAGAAAATGGCAAACAACCATGACCACAAGGTCAAGATGGGGCCAAACTGAGAAAATGGCAAACAACCATGACCGCACGTTTGTGTACATTTTTCCAAACCCTTCCAACACGTCAAAGAGAGATTTCCAAACACTTCAATACGTCAAAGAGAGATTTTCAAACACTTCATTACGCTGAAGAGAGATTTTAAAACCCCTTAATATGCCAAAGAGATATTTTCGAACCCTTCAACAACTAAACGACCTCAGTTTTAATTGATTTTTCGCAAATGTAATCTTTATAGAGTGATTTATAATATGAACAGTTCTGATCATAAATACGAAGTTATATGAATCTGCAACAAATAATTTTGAGTAGGAAAATCTATTCATACTTTAAGTAACCAAGTATTGCCCTTGTTGTTGGGAGAGTGATAGCGTTAATGGATGAGATACTTAGTTGTTAGGGGGGGAGAGGAATCGGTGGAGAAATCCGCACCAAAATGCATAAGCATGATTATTTTCCGACATTGCAGTAAAGCACCACCAACATGATGTTGTATAATATTAATAAGTACCTAAGGGCTCATCTGATATCTAGGAATGGGTTAGATTGTTTAACTCTCATTATATCTGTTAGGGGTAATGAAGGACTACAAGCTCACCAAAGGTGTAAAGCACCAGATTAGGATTTTGTATATGTTAGTTAAGGAGGTGTTGAGTCTGCACATTTAGTAAGATTTGATATTTATGCTTAAATACTCATGTACATCCAATTACACATGAATGAAATACAGTTACACAATTATATCTCTCTCTACATTTCTTTCTCTACCTAAAAGCTTAGGTTTCTTTTCCACTAAGATAACATTTTCTACATTATCGACATATGTCAAAGGAAAAGGAACACAAAAATGCGTTCGATGTGAAGGTATAAGATGAATTTCTTATTAAGAAAACTCATCACTGTCAATTCTCCAAAAATTGTATAACTTAAAGGGATAAGTTTCTTTCATGCATAATCTCCTTCTCATCCCCTAAAATTAAAAATCATTCACATCTGTCTTCAATTGAGATTGGATCTTATCTAATCAATCTAATGAATCTTAATAACCATACAAGCCTAAAAGATAATATCGCATTGCAAATTGAGCAAACTGGAAAAGAAAAAAAATGTGTTCAAACCCGTCGAAGGGAGATTGGGTCAAAGAGAAATTTAGTCAAAGTAAAGCGAAAATAAGCTTCTTGTTTTTGGAGTAAAGAACATTTAGCAACGTTGGTTTTACACCACCTACAATTTAGCCAATGTTTTAGAAAAATTAATGTTACATTACTTGGTCTTCAGTGGAATTATCAAACAAAACTACTATTCTCCTAAACGAGGCTTGATGGGCCTGCCTTTTTTTATACATGACCACCAGAATGATGTCACATATGTCACTTTCCATCTCTATTTAAAATGTCTAAATGTTTTCATAAAAAAGAAACAAAAAATAATAATAAATAGAAGCGTATTCATTCATTCTTCTTTGTTCTTGATCCCTCCTTTCTCTTGTATATTTTCCCCTATCTCCAGCACACAAAAATGTAAAAACTAATAACTAAAAGTGAAATGATAACAAACAGACCAAGTTAAATAATTGTTGGCACTGCAAGTCTAGTTTAAAACATGTAATAAATAAATAAATAAATGATTAAAACCATCACATATTAAACTTATTCAAAATCTACGTCACATTGCCAACGCTCATTGATATGAAAGAAATATTCTCATAATAAATAAATAAATAAATAAAAGCGTATTCATTCATTCTTTTTTGTTTCTTCCCCCCTAAAGAAAGTTGAGATTCCACCATAAAACCAATTGACAATATGAGGAGTAGCCTAACTTCTTATAAGGCTATGCAAGGTCCATCCTCCCATCAATATGAGATTCATACTCAACATGCCTCCTCATGGACGAATTTTCAAGCTTAACAAGTGGACAACACAACAGAGTGACGTTGAGCGAGTGTAGCTCTTTTGCTTCACACATGGGACAACCTACTCCAATACCATGAGGAAAGTTAAAGTTCCACCATAAAACCAATTGACAATATGAGGAGTAGCCCAGCTTACTTATAAGCCTATGCAAGCTTCATCCTCCCATCAATGTGGTATTAGAGCATGTTGTCTCTCGTGTGAAGCCAAACGGCCACACGCATTCTACCTCACCTCGTTGTGATCTCCATGTGTTAGGCTTGAAAATTCGCCATACGTGAGGGGGCGTGTTGAGAATGAGTCCCACATTGATGGAAGGAGAAACCTTGCACAGGCTTATAAGTAAGCTGGGCTACTCCCCATATTGTCAATTGATTTTATAGTAGAACTTTAACTTTCTTCACCTCTTAGCTCCTACCACGTTTTTTATTCCTCCTTTCTACTTGTATGTTTTCCCCTATCTCAAGCACACAAAAAAGTAAAAACTAATAACTGAAAACGATATGGTAACAAACAGACCAAGTTAAATAATTCTTGGCACTGCAAGTCTAGTTCAATACATGTAATAAATAAATCAAAAAATGATTAAACCCATCAGACATTAAACTTATTCA